AAAGCACACTGCCCTACATTTCCACATGCAAAGAACAGCAGCCTCCCAGGCTCCTCCGGGAGGCAAGGGGCCCGTATCTCCCTCCACAATGGCTCACGCAGACCCATCAGGAACAAGGACACGCTGTCCACCTGCCTCTGAAGAGAACGGCCGCGCACCCCCCTCCAGGGGATGGGGCTGCTACTGCGTTATTCATAGTATAGATTGATCCCTTCATTAGCTCGCCATTCCGTCTATCTAATGGACTGCTTTTAAAGGAGAATGAGTTCTTGCTTCATGCAGGGAGTGCATCCCAGACAAACATTATCACACAGAGGGGGGAGGGGCAGGCAGGGAGGGCGGGCTCATCAGCAATGGTCCCTGGGGGAGCAGAGCTGTGCTTCAGCGGCCAGTGGGGGCCGGATTCCCCATCCACGAGCGGGGGCTCCGGACGGAGGGGCACGTAATTCCTCTACTCGATCATTCTGAGGGTACACAGGCTCTAGGTGGGTCTGCGCCCAGTGGCACAGAGCTCACTGTCGATCACACTCTCAGGGGAGTCGCTTCTGACCCACGGCCCCCCGCATCCGACAGAGTGGGACTGCCCCACTGGGTCTCCGAGGCTGCCTGTCGTAATGGCGGCAGATGGCAGCACGTGTCCCCTGAGGAGCGCTGGGGGACTGGCCACCGGGCTCTATCATTGGTGTGACAGTGTGATGCCGTCAGGCACCTGTCATCAAATCGGTTGGGACTCCGAGGGAGCGGCCCCGTGGACGACAGCAGAAAGCACTGTGGTCCTGCGCCCTCCGCACCGCGGCGCCAGAGGCTGAGCCCATGGCCGAGGCCTGTGTCCACTAGGACACAGGCAGACATCCTTTCCTGGCAGGCAAATGCCCGCGTTCATACCCAGAGCAGGCTGGGGACAGGGAACACGTACCCAGCAGGCAAGAGAGACGCTGGTGTGTGTGTGTCCCCCCTCCCCTGCCTGGCTACAGCGCACCTTGTCAGGGCTAAATTAGGTCAGGCTGGAAAACCCACTCTCAATGATCTTAGCTCAGAACCAGCTCAGATCAATGAATCTAATACTGGCCTAATGGGATCTACCTGCCGCACGGGGAGTGACAAGAGCAGGTGGCGTCCCTCCTCCAGTTCATCTGCCACCTGGGCCCCTGGCTTCGGCACCAGATGGGCAGGCGTGTGGAGGGCGGCCCCCAGCCTGCCTCTGCTCAGGTATCTTTCATCCGAGCACGGGGGTGGGGTGGGGTGGGGGGGTGGCCCCCCTCCAGGGGCGGCAAACAAGATCTCTGCTCCTCCCTGTGGGCCCTTGATCTGCCTCTTGGGAGGCGGAGGCAAGCAAGAAGGGGCGAAGAGGACACCGGCTGGGGAAGGGGCAGGGATGCGGACATACCTTGAACTGCCTGGCCAGGTGCTGCTTATGGCTCTCCTCCACTTGTTTGAACTTGGACTCCAGCCCTTTCATCTGGTTCTCCATCTTCTCCACATACTGCAGGTCCCTCTGGGTCCGCCTGTCCAGAACCTCTATGGACTGGGACATGTTCTGCACCTGCCAGAGAGGCAACAGGTTCAGGAGGAGCTGAAGTAGGGCCAGACCTCCTCCTGGGTCTTCTAACCATGCGGTCCCTGCCTCGTCCTCTTGCTAATCACCAGCATCACTAATCACAACCCAGATCTCTGAACGGAGCGAGCTGGCCGGGCCTGAGTCCAGAAGGGGTGCTGGCCAACGCCTGGGAAGGCAAACTGGGGTCAGCAGCATCCTCCCTGGGTGTAGCTGCAGGCCCAGGAGGTGGGCGGGCTACCCTTCTCTTTTCGTAGGGTGGGGGGAGTGCATATTAATTCTATTTTGTTTCTACGTCGCGACTGGTATTCAGACTCACGGCAGTCATTGTTAGGCGGCCTGCACACTCCAGGTAGGGATTCCCTGCCTGCCCCACCCCCAGCCCCCAGAGGAGAGGTCTGATTGCTTTTGGGCAGGGTGAAGGGCAGGAAACGGCTCTCCCGGCCTCACCACCCAGCCTCGCTCCCCTCCTCTCTGCCATCCATCACACCAACAGTATCATAAGCAGATGACTGCTCTGTAAACGCGGACATTCAGAACACACAGCCGAGGATCCATCACCCAGCAAATGAAGAATCGCAGCCCTGCATCTTTGCCGGCAGCTCAGAATGGCGTCGAGCCTCGAGATGGGGCGTTAATATTCCGCTGGATTCCAGGGGGCTTAGGAGGAAAGCCCTCTCTGCGCAGCCACCTGCCCGCTGGTTTCACTTTCAGGAAATGGCCGGGCGGGTGCTCCCTGCCAGGCTTTAGGGAGTGGGGACGTGGCACCCGGGGACGTGGCACCCGGGGCCGCAGCAGCCACATCTGGACCCTTTGGACCTTTCCTCTGATTGGAATCCAATTACTGGGGAGGCTGAGCCCGGTGCAGAGCCCAGACGCAGGCCTGAGATTTGCTGAATTTGAAAATCCTCTCCCTTCCAGGAACATCGAAGCTCAGGGGGCAGTTGCCCCCCGCCATCCTGCGGCCAGTAGGGAGCAGTGCTGGCAGTGTGGGCGCCAGCTCACTAACCCCTCCGCTCCCCCTCCCTAGTGAATGGAATTAAATTAGAGCCAGAAGGGGAGAGGAAAGGAGAGGGGGAGGGAGCCAGCGGATGGCTCCAGGCCCAAAGCTTTTTCCCAGCATTTACTGTGCCGGTGCCGGGACTCAATGGTTTGTTATCTGAAAGTCACACACACAAATTCCGCTTCAAAATGCCCAGCCTGCTCGGATCCCAGCTCCCTGAATGCCCTGGGAGTGGGAGGAATCGGCCTGCAGGTGTGTTACCTGTAGCCTCGCCAGACCGTCCTCCCTGCCATTCCCTGCCACCTCCTCTGAGAAAAGCGGCATGTCTGGTTCCAGCCACCCTCTGAGTTCCAGTGCCACCTCCTGCAGGGAGCCTTCCCTGATTAGCAGAACCAGCTGGGCCCACATGCACTCTGGAAGCCATGCCCTCCACCCCCACCCCGCACTGGCCTTGCCCTGCCCTAGGAAGCAGGCACTTCTCTGGCTCAGGTATACGGGCAGGGTCTCATGCACATCTTGAAACCTAGCCCCAAGGTGGACCCTCAGTGCTCAGCACTGTAGCCCTGGAGCCTCACAACAGGAAGGGGCTCCCAGAAGCCAGGGCTGATGCTGGGACTGGGAGGAGCTGCCACCCAGACTAGTGGGAGACTACCTGATGCCGGAGAACAAATGCTTAAAAAATGTCAAGCCCTCCAGGAGCTCCAGCCCCGGGACCTCTGTCAGGGACCTGCCTGGCATGGGCGTGGGCACACGCTCCTCTGGGGCCAGATGGGACAAGTGGCCGGCTGCTCTCCACTCCCCAGGAGGACCTCAGTGCACACCCTCACGTCTGCGCTTCGTCTCACTGGCAGGGTGTGTCCCTGACAAGCTGGCCGAGGCGGACTCAAGGTCATGCCGTTCAAGGTCACAGGCACCCCACCATCTGTGTGTGAAGGCCTTGCAGGAGAGGGGTCTCAGCCTGAACCGAATCCCTGTGGCGCGGCGCTGGGTGCAGATCCAGGTTCCAGGACCTTGGATGGATGGAGTCACAGGAACTCTGACCCACCAGGGGGGTCCCCGCTCGCCTCCCCCTCCTCTGGTGACAGGAAGGAAGGAGCCCAGAAAGGGAGGACCACAGAGGAGGGGGGAAGGGGCAATGAAGCCCCTTTTGCTCACTGAGAAGGGAGGGGCCCCTCTGCAGACCCCGCAGGATCCACACACCCGCCACCATTGAGTCCCTTCTAACTTGGAGTGACCTGTAGGGCAGGGGAGAACTGTCCTCTGTGGTGTCCGACACTGGAGCTGATCAGTCCAACACTTAAGCCACTGCGCCACCAGGACGGTCATTGCCTAGTCTCCACTCTGGTGCACGGCTGGAAGGGAGGGCTGGGGCTTGAAGAATCTTCCGGAACCTGTCTCCCATGCGTGGTCCTCAAGTCCCCCTGCCAGCCAGGTCTCTGCTCTAGAACTCGGGGTCCAGGCCCCCAGCCAAGCCCCGGTCTCTAGCTCCCTCCTCAGAGACAGATTCCGAATCATGAAAGCTTCCCTGGGGGTTGGGGCTGAACCAAGCCAGACTCACAGCAACCCTACAGGACTGGGCAGAGCTGCCCCTGTGGGTTTCTGAGACGGTCACTCTTTATGGGAGCTGAAAGCCCTGGCTTTGTCCCGAGGTGTGGGTGGTGGTTTCGAATTGCTGACCTTGCAGTGAGCAGCCCACTGTGCAGAGTGGTGTAATGAGTGCGGTGGGGGCTGCCGTTCTTCCATGCCATTGACTCACGTAGCAGAAGGTGATGGAAGCACACACTTGGTTCGTTCAAACCTGAGGGAGCCTCCTGTCCCCGGAAGCCTGGGTCCCCACGGGAAGGTTCCGGCTGGCTTAGGCGCTCAGGACTGGCCGCCCTGACAACCACAGAACCGGAGTCCATGGGGAGGAGCCTGCCTTGCTGCAGCTGCGCTCTGGCTGAGTCAGGGCTGACAAACACCACCCGCCAGGGGGCCTGTTCCGCCCTCCCTGCAGCTGTGAGGACAGCAGCCTCAGAGTGTCCCCCCAACCAGAGTGCTCCAAATGACACCCATCTTGGGAAGTCCAAAGGCGAGCCTCGGGGAGCCCAGGCCCCCTGTGTGAATGAGCACATGAGTCTGTGCTCTGTGTACATGCAAACGCACTTCTGTGCATGTGTCTGCGTGCACGTGTGTGAATACGAGTGTATAAGTGTTTGTGATAGAGTGCTTTTATGTGTGTGTGTGTATGTGTGCACATGTGACTACATGTGTGCATGGGTGTGAGCAAGGGTGTGCAGGTGTGACCGCTCACACTCTCTCAGGGAGCCCTATGGACGTGAGGGCGCTGTGGAAAATAAGACCCGCCCATTCCTTCCTTCCCCTTGGCCACTCCTGGGGCCAGACATCCAGGCTGACTTGAGAGGACAGAGGTCTTGGACATGTCTGTCAGAACACCCCTGACCTGTGCAGTGGAGGCGGCCAGGCCAGGGGCAGGCCTAGGGCACCTGTACCGAAATGTTCACCTGGGAGACGGGCTGGGTGTCCTAGGAGCTGACAGGTTCTTGGGATGGGCCCACAGCCTGTTGTCACACAGCCACGTGGCCACCCAGCGTGCTGCCAAGGGGCCACGTGGTCACATGTGGCCCTGTCACCAGCCTGGCACAGCCACCCCAATGGCAGAGCGACCACTTTGCCAAAGTCCCAGGGGACGTGCTTCCCCGGCCCACAGACACCCCCCATGAAACCCCAGGACTACAGTGTCGGAGGGTCACTCGAAAGACAGCGGTGGGCTGAGAGCCTCTACAGGCCACCTCCACTCTCCTACCGCTTTCTGCAGCAGGAGCTGGCAGTGACTGGGGCAGGGTCTCTTCATTTCCTCCCAGCCACCCCGTGGAGCCTGTACCCCCCAACTCCCCCATCCACCCTCTATCCACCCCTTTACCCATCCATCCATCTATCTACCTACCCACCCATCCATCCACCCACCTACCCATCCTGTCCCTATCACACTATCACCCACCTCTCCACAACGGATTTCAAGGAAGGTCTTGCAGGAAAGAGGAAAGAGGGAGTCCCTGGCATTGGCGTGGCCCCTCAGGTTCACCCAGCACTGCCGCTGGCACCGAGATTCACTGGAACAGACCCCTTCCCGTTGCCCCTCCCCCACGCACTCACCTTCTCCAGCAGCTGCCTCAGCTGTTTTGTGCGGGCGTCCCTGGAACACATGGTCTGCTGGGGGGCGACCACTGTGCAGATGCACCTGCCCTCGCTGTCCTGGGCAGAGCTGTACACCTGCCAGCTCTCCTCAGGGTTGGTGGGCAACACCTGGAGGGGCAGTGGGTGGAGGAGACAGAAATGAAGCCATAAGGTGCTGCGGGGAGGGACCTCCGCAGACCCCCAGGGAAGACCATCGGATAGCAGGGCAGAGAGGCACAGCCCCCCCAGGGACTCACGGCTGTCCACACTGTCACTCCCTTCTAACACAGGTACACCCCCAAGTGTGGCATCTGCCCATGTTGCTAGCTTAGGCGGGACAAGGGCTGGTCAGAACCTAGGCGCAAAACACCTCCATCCATCTGTCCGTCAAGCAAGCAGGCAGGGTGCTGGCACAGCCAGGCCGCCAGCCACTTCCAGGACACTTCCACTGCTGCCGTCACTGCCGAGACCCAGCCAGCAGCCTCTGAGCCACGGTCAGCTACCCAGGGCGCCCGAACTCCTGGCCCTTCGGCCTGCCCACCTGCCAGTTGGTGGATTTCACCAACATGGGTGACGTGCTGTGCAGAGGTCACTCCCCAGGTCCTGAGGCGTGCCCCATGGCCACCAAGACAGCCAGCGTCCTACCCAGGGTCCGGAGGACCAGGGAGACCGGAAGCCTGGGCACACCCTCCACATTGCCCGCCCCTGGGCCCAGGCACCTCCGGGCTATTTTTAGCCTGGGGCTGAGGAGCGGTTGGGAGGGGACACTGCACGCTGGTGATATATTTAATTCCATTCACTGCCACCTCAGCAGCTAGAACGGGGCCGGGACCAGCACACAAAGAGAGCTGTAAGTCTGGCTGGCACCGGGGCCAGGTGGCAGTGCTTAGGGTCTTGGGGTAGGGGGATGTCAGGGCATCCTCCTGGTGCCGTTCTGTACCTTGGCAGCAAAGAGGGCTTGGAGCAGAGGCCTGCCCTTCACCTCTCCTTCACTTAGAGGGCGACAGACGGCCCCAGCAATGGGCGGCCGCTGCCCCAGGGCATCTGGCCCCTGGTGACTGGCAGGCTGTCTCAGCCGCGCTGCAGCAGACACCTGCTAAGTCAGCCCTGCCCCAGGAGCAACCCAGCCACCGTCCCTCTCCTCAAGGCGTGAGATGGGCAGTGCCCCCCCCCCCTCTCCCCAAGGCAAGAGGCTCTCGCTACAGCTTCTGCTCCCACCGCCCCACCCTGGCCCTCTCCTCCCCAGGACTGGGCTGGATCGTCCTATGAGGACAGGGAGGAAGGGCGCTGGGGGACTTGGGAGCTACCAGGGCTCAGCTCGAGGCTCTGCGGCCGGTCTACTCCAGTTTATAAAAAGTGGGATTAGTTGCTAGCCCAGTCTGAGGTCTGGCCGGAACTCCACCCTTTACTGGGCAAGTGACCTTGGCCAAGTCCCCAAGCCTCAGTGCTCTACAGTAACATTCTCTGAAAGCGCCTAACTGAAGGGGGGCGCCAGCCCGCGCAACCCTTGGCCGGCGTTGGTACCCTGCTCCGCGAGAGACTCTGCCCGGAGAAACGTCACCCCAGGGAGACCGCGGGTCTGGGGTCCTGCAGAGGCGGGGTTACGGCCGCCGCGCCCAGCGAGGCCGCTCCCAGGTCCCTGCCAGGGTCCCACGCGGAGCCTGCGCCCCGGCGGGTGGGCAGGAGAGGCGCGCGTGGGGGGCGCACTTACGCCGGTGCTGCGGTCCAGCGTCCCGCCGCGGGCGGCCGAGAGCCGGGTGGTGTTGAGGCCCACGAGCGAGGGCAGCGTCTGGGACATCCAGTTGGTGATCATGGCCATGGTGCTCAGCACGACCCCGATCTTGAGCAGCGGCACGGACATCGCGTC